TAATGGTAATTCAATTGGTGAAATGATGTGAGGCTCAATGCACAATGAAAAAGTAAGTTTTTAATTCTTGCTATAGTATGTGCTGAATACAGTGCTTCCAAGGAGACCTTTCATCGGGCAAGCAGGAGGGCAGATGTCTTTTGAAGTAAAAACGCTCTTATTTGAAAATATTTAATCTCTTAAAATGTAATTTTAAATTGAAAGGATTTTATGAATTTTTAAAAAACAGAAGTAGAAAAAAAAAAAACCAAAACAAGAAAAAAAAAATCAATGAGTGCCTATTTTATACCTGTCTAACATGTTAGTTGTTGGAGTTGTTGGGTATGACATATTCAAAAATATTATTCCAAATAACAGTACATAAAACAAGACCGAAGCTTAGGAAAAAAATATACTGAATACACTTCAGAAATTGAAACAAATGTGATACCCAGGTGCCCACATATTTTGTCCTTCCCTCTTGCCTGTAGACAGAGAAACTGTGTGTAAATTAACTCAAACTACCATTTTTTAGTGTAAGGTTTAGCATAAAATGTGCTGGCTGACTGCCATGGGAAGCAAAAGGCTTGTAATTTCAATTACATGGCATTTCAAGTAGAACAGGCCCTAATGTGGTAGGTGGGGATTAGAGGTGGCTGCCAACATTGCAGGAGAGCTCTGAGGTTTATTATTTTTACAGTATGAAAAGACCATGTTGATTAGCTGACCGTACGTCCTTGAACAGACTACGGAAGCTGAAAGATTAAATATTTGGTGAACTCTTACAGAAAATGGATATTGTATGGAGAATCTTCAAACAAAATATTGCACAAAAAGTTCCATTGCATGAATAACAACTGTCTTTGCCAGCTGTTTGGTCAGAACAGAAGGGTCACTTGCAAACAAATTGTTCAATAAGGGGACTGGTTTTTTTAGCATTTGGAAAGATCTCTGTCAAATGTGTCTATTTAAGATATCTAAGCTATTCAGCAAAGGGTTTGTGGGTTATACGTAGAAAGCCAAGCATGGTTGTCTTTCTTACAGTATTATCTCCTGAAATTACCAGTAAAATTTGCAGTTGATTAGCAAAACTATGTAAAAGAAAAAGTTCAATCAAAACGCATAGTATATATTTACAGCATGCCAAGAACTAACTAATTAATAGGGTTTCACCTCCTTTTCCTTGTTTCATTGTGGTCAGACAATTCAGTCTTTAAGCACTTCTCTTGTGAAGTGGGAACTGTTCCCACACCTGAGATTGTGTGTGTGCATGGACATGTATGTGAGTACCTGGGTGTTTTTACTCTGAAGCAGACCAAAATGACACAGAAATATAATGCTGTGCTGTTTATTAACATTTTTTGTGGTCAGCGAGAAAGACTTAATTTATTTTCTAACAAGCGCTCGATTTCCAGGTCATGCTGCAGGTAATTGGGAGGCCTTTCTCTGGGCCTTAGCTATTCTGAAATGTTGCACCTTTCTAGAACTCCTCAGGTCTCAGTGATTATTACACAACCCATGTCAAGTCAGCTCAATGGTGAGATCAAGACCATATCTGCACTGGGGTATTTTAGGGGTACAAACTGTACTGATGTATGCTGGCTAACACTGCTGCAGATTGAAGCACATACAGTGATCTTTGATAAACTTTCTAATTAATGACCTCCTTAGTTGTAGTTCTGTTCCACTGTGGCATTCCCATTAAGTGACTGTATTTTCCAGAAATACAGGGAACCAATGATGAGAGATTACCTTTAGTTTTATTGTTTGTAACTTTTTACCTTAGCAGTAATTTGACTAAGGGTTCTGAGTAAAAATAGCATTGATGAATGTATTGTATGTGAAGAAATTATGATGATACGTAAAGAAATAGTTGTCCTTAAAAGTTGACAAATGTATCCTGAGGGCTTTGTTTGAACATATTTCTGGCACAGAGACATTGCCTCACCTTCCAAGTTTGAAAGTGATGAACAGGGCCCAGAGCTGTTTCTACAAGTTTGAAGACAAGGATGTCTTTCAGGAACATCCTCATATTTAGGTCTCGTTAATCTTGTTAATGTAAATAGGCCATTTATAAATTTTGTGCTAATATTTAGAAAGCTTAATGAACAATCAAGGGCAACTGTAGTTTGGAAGATACTGAAGGAATTGGAAGGACTTCTGTGCACATACTTCATACATATATGTTCTATTTTTCAGTCTACTGTCATTATCATTAAAGTCCGAGTTAACTGACGTTAGTGTTCTATCTCTGCAATTACTGGCCAGTAGACAAAGGATAGATTTTGGTGAAGTGGAATAAGAAGGTTTAAATATATGACTTGCAAGCCTGAATCTCTTAAGTGACATATCTGAACTGCTGCCATGCATCCAGTGGAGAGAAGGGGCACCACTGAATCCTGCGAGAGCTGTACAAATTAATTTATCCTCACATTTGAACTGGCATGCTTCTAAAGCCTCCTTGATAACATTCCTTACTTTCAGATTGTGTTTGTCTGTTAGGAATAAGGCTGATGCATAAATTGAGTACTGGAGGCACTGAGGACATCTGTCTGTGTTTGTGCATTATTCACACAGATGAACTCATAGTCTCAAAATGTAAAAAAATATTTTTATATACAGTATTATTTAGATATATAGAAAAAAACCCATTACCTGAGCCTGCATCCAAAAATGCTGTTGGTTATAGCCCTGAAATACCTAGCTTCAGAGAAGGAACGAAGAATGGTTACACTATAGTTTTAGTATCTTGATAAATTCTTGTGCTTCCCCCTGCTGATCATTATTATTTTCTATAAAGTGAGTGTTTAATTGGAAGGCACAATTATAAGCACATAACTTGTCACAAAATTAGATTGCTAATATTAAATATTTAATTTTCCATAACTAGTATTGCAATACTGTTCTGGTCTTTTGTGAAGCTATTGCCTGACAAAATGTCATACGCCTGTGGTATTACATAGAACAGAAGAATACACAGGAAGAGTTACAAAATTTGGGGAAAAAAGTAATCCAAAGTTACCTCATTCATTTCAGAGGGTCTTGGAACTGTGCATCTGAAAGGGAGTTTGAACATATAATAATAGGTAATGAATATATGTAAATGTATTTATTTTAAATCATATACAAGATTAATATTCATTCCTAGAAAGAATGTATATATCTGTCCTAGCTACAGAACTGAACACAGACTCTGTATGTCTTTGTAGCTGTGTGTTAACACAGCGAAGGCAGACATATTTATTAAATGCATGCATGTTCCTGCCTTTATGTGCCTGTATATGCTTATGCACAGGCATATCTAAGTGTCTTACGTGCACTTATGTAAGATTTAAAAGCCTGTATTGAAACATACAAAGGTATTGCTGATGTTTGATGATCTTTGTGATTTGGAGTCTCCTAATTGGAAATGATTTAATTGAAACATTACTTATATTTATATAAATATCTGAAGCACAATATAATGATGACTATGATTAAAGAATCATTTTTCTCCATTTATCTTTGGATCTACTACAGGCAGTAGACAGCTCCCTTTACTTAGACAGTCAGTTGTATGTGTCTTACGTGATTGCTGTGCATGAAGGAAAGAAGTATAGTAGAGGGAAAAGCAGAATGTAAGAAACAGTAGAGGATTGTAGAAGAGAAAGATAACTCTATTTCATTTCCAGAAAGCAGAACATGGAGAGTGTAACCCTTTCATAAGGCTAACATTTGGAAGCCTGTGTTTTTAGGAGGTTAGGGAGTTAATGAAAACCCATAGTAATTTCCATATGATAAACTTTTAATCGTCCAACTGAAGAATATTAGAAGAGCACTTTGGTCTTCAGTTATTACCATAGACCACTGACTAGTTTTTATTCCAGATTTCATCAGAAGCGTGCATGAAATTGTACGTTCAAAAAGGATTAATCCTTTTAAAGTTCCATCTCATGCAGCAGCTATCTGCAGCAGCCCACATGTCTGCAGGTGATACAGTACCAGCCCAGCACACTGCAGAGCAGCAGAGCTCTGTATGCCTTCTGTGATAGAGGCCACCGGTTTGAGTTTCCCTCCTCTGCTCAATCATTCTTCTCCCTGAAATTATGTCATCTTAATGTCTTTGAATCCGTGGCCCCTCTCTAAATTTGTTTGACATTTACTGAAAGATTAAAAAATTAAGAAGAGGTGAATGACCGTGAGACCACTGCATAAGCCTTGTTTCTTCAGGAAATCAACAAAACCCCTTAGACTATTGATGAAATGTTTTGGTGAGGTAATACTGTATGATTTATTTCAGACAGGCTTTAAGAATGCTTTAGTTAATGTTTTTGCTTGTTGTTTTTATGACCATGTCTTATATACTCAGTCATAAATTTTTTGTGTATCTCAAGCATTAAAAAAACTTATCAAGTTTATGTCATAGTATATTTTAAAATCATTTCCTGAAACTGTATTGAGTGGATTCCAGAAAATGCAGATCATTTTGAATACCACAGCATTCAATAGTGAAGTGTCTGGGGAGGTGGTCTGTTTGCTGGCATCCCTTCCAAACTGCTATGTCACCCGGATGATTTAGTTGCTGTTCCTGAAAGGGATACTTCTTGCAGTGATAAAAAAGCACTGGCAATTCTGATTAGGAAATTCTGTGATATTCCCAGAAGTGCTGCTTTGCAGAGATACGGTGCCAAATGTTATGGTAATTTAAAGTAAGTGCAACCCCCACTAAGTAACTGGAACTGCAGAGAATGTAAATCATTGAAGAATTTGTCCTGTTATGATGTCTCAGCACGGAACAAGAGCTTGTGTGAAGGTATATATTTGAATTACTTTAGAACTGTTGATTTTAAGTAATGCCTCTGATTTATGTTAAGGCATGATATTTTGTAATATTTTGCATACAATGTTATGTATTCTACATAAAAAGCACCAGATTCACTCTTCTAAAAAAAAAAGACAAAATCCTTTTTCTCCTTTTATTGCTTCACATGTAAACGAGAAACTAGATTAAAGGTATTCCCTTTTCCTTTTTCCTGTGTAAGTCTCAGACAGTTTGGACTCTGGATGCCATGGGTGTCAGACCAGGAGGTTCCCCAAGGCAGAAACTCTTAAAGGACTCCGTAGCAGCAAAAGAACTTCAGACCATGGAAAAACACCTAGCTGGTATGTATGGTAGCAAGGGATTGTAAAACACATAGCAGTACTCACCCAGCTAGCTCTGCCAATATTATAGATGAAGAAAAAAATGATCTGTCTCGCTTGTTGATGAAAACAGACAAAAACTTTAAACTTCAGGGTGTTTTTTTTTTATTGAGGAGAAAGAGCACAGTTATTGTTATGTTTGTAGATATAATGATCTTTGCTGTAAGTACAGTAAATACAGCAATTAAACAGTAATTAAGCTGTGTTAAATATACTGCAGTCTGACAGCTCGATACTGCACCTATTTATTTGGTTTCACATTTCACCAAGACTTACGTAATAAGGAAGATGCTTTACCTACAGTTCAGTAATATTTAGAAAAGGTTGCAGTGAACCTTTAGCTTGAGAACAGATTGCTTTGCAGGGAGAGCCTACCTTGTTCATGAGACTTCTGGCTAAGTGAAGTCTGTTAACTTGCGTGCAGTGGAACATCTGCAACATCTTCGATGGGGCAGCTATTTCTAAAAGGTCAAAGAAACACACACACCCCCCTTGGTGAAAATACATTTCAGAGCTCTGCAAAATTTAATGAGGGATATCTTAGTATATAGTTTACATTTGTTGTTATTTGTAATCAATATTTGCTATCTTCAGCTTTAGTTTCAAGGTATGACACAGACCTATAGCATGGTAGTCCTATATTATGCATCCTCTTTGTTTAAGCTGCAACAGTTAATTTTTCTCCATTCTAGTAGCTGGTGCAGTGCTGTGTTTCAGCTTTGGTCTGAGAACACTGCTGATAACACACCGATGTTTTAGTTGTTGTTAAGTAGCGCTTACCCTGATGAATGACTTTTCAGTCTCATGCTCTGCCAGTGAGAAGGGGCACAAGAAGCTGGGAGTGAGGAGAGACAGGACACCTGACTGGAACTAGCCAAAGGGGTATTCTTTGCCAGAGCGCATCATGCCCAGTATGTAAACCAGGGGGAGTCACCTGGAAGGCCCAGATCACTGCTTGGGTCGGGCTGGGTGCCAGTTTATTGTTTTTCCTCTTTCCC